TAAGGGCATCTTAGAATTTAGAAAAAAATCAGTTCCAACCTTTTACTGTATAATAGCAGATTTTCTATATTTTTACTGATCAAACATTACATGTAACGTTACAAGCATCGAAGCGGATAGAAAGGTTATCCAACTCATCGGAGAATATTTTTATATGATTGCATATAAACATCATGGTTTACCTTACTTCGATCCCCGTTTTTAACAGTGTCTTTCTAAATATAACTCTGCATTTAATTCATGGAATTTTAATAGTAATTTACCTTGTTTGCCTTGGATTTACATTCATAATTTAAGATTCTTTTTTGACAAATGTTCAAACGAAAATTGTACAGTGGATGAATTATGGGATATTAATGAAATACGTGTTGTATAAGTATGTACATTTGCACCATCTCGTCAATTTAGACAGACTTATCCATAACGATTATAAATGATATCTGGGAGTCCGGGACGTCAGAAAAATATACTCGATCTGAACATGAATGAAACATTTGCCCCTGGACGAACATAGGCTACCGACAAAATCAATCATTCTTCTTTTGCCTTCTTCAAAATATATTAACAGTATACTATTCCAAGAAGAAAACTTCTCATACATGTACTTTTCATTTTAAAGTATATGAATCAGTCATGCAGGAACATATATACTGTTCCCAGAGTCATGTGAGTGTTGGATGATGCCGTTAAATAGTTTTGTTTAAAACAACAAACCATCACGAACCACTGACTTTAGTGACGGTTTATTATTATGGATACAGCATGTATAGAGAGGAAATAATGGCACTCTAAATTGATGTGGACAAACTTTTGTAGTCGTAGTCATTGTGTTCCAAAGTTGGTGTCATCTTTATCATACAATCCGTCCTGACATAGAAATATCATTGGTTTACAATGAGGCCATATATATTTAAATGATAAAGTGTAAACATGTTCAGTTTTGGTTGATGCGGTCAAATAATTTTGTTAAAACGACTCAGTCTGATATATCGAAAGTACTAAAATTTGTTTACGATTCAATAGTTTGAATAAAAAGAGGACATGCTGGTACTCTAAATTGATGTGGAATTTTTTTTGTAGTCAATGTGTTCCAATATTGGTGTCATTTGAATTATACAATCCATCGTGATATGTAACTATAAGTGATTTACTTTGCGGCTATATATATATCTTAAGATTTACATAATAAAGTGCAAATATGGTCAGTTTTGGTAAATGCTGTCACATATGGTCAGTTTGGGTTGATGCTGTCAAATATGGTCAGTTTTGGTTGATGCGGACAAATAATTTTGTTATGTGAGTAAGTCTGAGATATCAAAATTACTGAAATTAGTTTACGATTCAAAATTTTGAATAAAAATAGGACATGCTGGCACTATAAACTGATGCGAGCATAATTTTGTAGTCAGTGTTTTCCAAAATTGCTGTCATTTGTATTATACAATCCATCCTGATATAGAAATATAGGTGATTTACTTTGCGGCTATTAAGATTTACATAATAAAGTGCAAATATGGTCAGTTTTGGTTGATGCGGACAAATAATTTTGTTATACCAGTCTGTCTGAGGTATGAAAACTACTGATATTTGTTTATGATGTAATATTTTGAATAAAAAGAGGACATGCTGGCACTCTAAATTGATGCAAACAAAATTTGGTAGTCATTGTGTTCCAATATTGCTATCATTTGTATTATACAATCCATCCTTACATAAAAATATCACATAAAAAAGAGCAAATATGGTCAGTTTTGGTTAATGCGGTTAAATATGGTCAGTTTTGGTTGATGCTGTCAAATATGGTCAGTTTTGATTGATGCGGACAAATAATTTTGTTACAGAAGTCAGTCTGAGGTATGAAAACTACTGGTATTTGTTTCCGATGCAATATTTTGAATAAAAAGAGAAAATGCTGGCACTCTCAATTGATGCGAAAAAAAATTTGTGGTCATTGATTTCCAATATTGCGGTTATTTGTATACTACAGTCCCTCTTGACCTAAAATTATAACTGAATTATGTCCAGCTACATAGATTTACATAAAAAAAAAAAGCAAATATGGTCAGTTTTGGTTGACGCGGTCAAAAGATTTTATTACACGAGTCAGTCTGAGGTATGAAAACTACTGATATTTGTTTACGATTCAATATTTTGAATAAAAAGAGGACATGCTGGCACTATAAATTTATGCAAACAAAATTTTGTGGGCATTGTTTTCCAATATTGCAGTAACTTGTATATTACAGTCCCTCTTGACCTAAAATTATAACTGAATTACTGTGCAGCTATATAGATTTGAAAGATCAGAAAAGAAGAGCAAATAATGTCAGTGTAGGTTGATGCGGTCAAAAGATTTTTGTTAAACGGGTCCGTCCAAGGTATGAAAACTACTCGTAAACAGATATCATATTTGTTTACGATTCAATATTTTGAATAAAAAGAGGACATGCTGGTACTATAAACTGATGCAAACACAATTTGACATCATTTTCCAACATAATTGCTGTCATTTGTACAATCCATCCTTGCCTAAAAATATAACTGTATTTCTGCAGTGTGCGGCTACATGTAAATAGTTTTACAAGATGAAGAGCAAATATGGTCAGTTTAAGTTTAATTTAAAAACATATTTATTTATAATAGTGGATTGGGAAACAAGTTATTACATTTGGTTAATGAGGTCAAATAATTCTGTTATACGAGTCATCCTGACTCCCGGAATGACAAATGTAAAACAATTCAAAAGATAAAACTAACGGCCTAATTTATGTACAAAAAATGAACGAAAAACAAATAATTTATGTAACACATCAACAAAAGAAAATCACTGAGTTACAGGCTCCTGACTTGGAACAGGCACATTCATGCAGAATATGGCGGGGTTAAACATGTTGTCTTGATTAAAAATCTGAAATAAGACCGGCAAAATAGCCAAACTCTATATAAATCGCTATTTTGCCGAAGCCTTATATTTAAGACAAAGAGTTCTTAAAACTTGTAAATCAATTCTAGCCGTAGAATTTATAAATCAATATTCTAGCCGTAGAATTCATAAATCAATTCTAGACGTAGAATTTATAAATCAATTCTAGTCGTAGAATTTATCAATCAATTCTAACCGTAGAACTGTTCTAGTCGTAGAACTGTTCTAGAAGTAGAACTGTCTAAAACTGTTCTAGGGTAGAACTGTCAGGATCAGTTATAGGTAGAACTGTCCAAATCAGTTCTAGGTAGAACTGACCAAATCAGTTCTAGGTTAGAACTGTTCTAGCTAGAACTGTCTAAAAGGTGTCAGGCTGACAGTTCTACATACTGTCCTAGAACAGTTCTCCTGACAGATTCTGACAGATTTAATGAGAGGTTAGAAGTGATCTCCACTGTAGCTGTTTAGCTTAGTTATCACCAAATGTCATGTCCAGATCTTAAAATGATTATACTATAAAATTACTTTGAGTTGTTTGATCAGATTAAGTTTGTAATATCTCTGCTACTTTTCTTATTTGAACTTTGTTCATGTTGGTCACCATTGCCGATTAAGGATTATGACTAGTTCAGAAACATAATAATTGAAACAATAAGAAGCTTTAAAGCTATAAGTAAACATGTCACTTGGTTTAAACTATCCTACACTTTTCGAGAAAAAATGCAACCATTTGTATATATTTGAAAATGAAAGAGTGAGGTAAACATTTCCCCTCCGCCCCCATAAAAAGCAATCAGAAGAAAAAACTGAACATCGCAAACATCATTAAGTTTGTCCCCACTCTGTGATCTTTGACTTAGTCTTGCATAGTAAAGCTGAATGAGTTTCACCGAAGACTTTATCTGCCTCTGTCGAGTATATCCTACTTACGACCTTGTATGGCTGCATGGCTTTCATAGAAATGTAAAATGATGACAGTAAAGACCAGTTTTGTCGAACATATTTTTTACTCAAAACAATGCGCGAATAGACTCGGAAATGTTGTTGTATGAAACAATACAAATCATAGAGATAATAATACTATTAAAAATACTACAATATATTGGCATAAATTAAACAGCAACTGCAAAATTTACCCGAGCTCTGCTTTGAAAACTCCATCTATTACTCGATACTCTCATGATTCACACTAAAGATCGCCTCCGGTATTTGGTGGAGATTGTGTTGCTCAGTCCTAGATTTTCTATAAAGTGTTTGTTGACTGTTGGTAAGCTTTCCGTGGTATTTCGTTCTTTTCTTCCATGGCGCTCCCAGTTTATCCTCGACTTATTACACATGTCATTAGTTATAACAAGAAGTAAAATATCAAAAATATCGAACTCCAAGGAAAATTCAAAACGGAAAGCCTTTTATCAAATGACAATTTTAAATGCTCAAACACATCAAACGAATGGAAAACAACTGCCATATTCCTGACTTGATATAGAAATTTCTTTATGTAGAAAATAGTGTATTACACCTGGGTTATAGCTTTCAAAGTGTCTTTGATCTGTCTTTAATGTTTCTTTAATGTGTCTTTTTGTTGATGTGGTTCAAAAGTGTTTCTCGTTTCTTGTGTTTTATATAGACCGTTGGTTTTCCTGTTTGAATGGTTTTATACTAGTCATTTTTGGGGCCCTTTATAGCTTGATGTTCGGTGTGAGCCAAGGTTCTGTGTTGAAGGCCGTACTTTGACCTATGGTGGTTTTCTTTTACAAATTGTGACTTGGATGGAAAGTTGTCTCATTGGCACTCATATTACATCTTCTAATATTTATTTGGTGTCTGCCGCCTCGCAAAATTTATCTTCAATTAGAAATATAATGTTCTACACTGACTGAATATTTAATAGTACTGCGACCTTATGAAAACAAATGAACAAACAATTAAAACATCGTTATTTTGTTATTAGAAGATTAAAGGCCATTGTGGTAAAGTGTTGGGCGGTACTAGCAGTATTAATGCAATGTATTACGTTAGAGGAAGTCGTCATGATTATGACAAGTGGCAAAAAGAAGGTTGTACTGGATGGGGTTATGACGATGTTTTACCATACTTCAAAAAGTCAGAAGATATTCAAATTCCAGAGCTGATTAATTCCTGTAAGTAAAAATTATAATTTGAAATATATAGAAGAAGTTATGAAAATAATGAAAACCATAATACTATATTGTAAACAGTGCAACGATTGTAATATATGTAAATTATGAATTCATTCTGTGAAACTGCATCAAGGTTTCAATGCGTGGAATGCATGTACAAGATGTACACGGAAATCTTGTGATAGATAGGTAATTTTTTAGTCGCGTTTTACATCTTTTATATTGATAAAAATAGCAAAACCCAAAAAAACTTAAAGGGTAATCTACGATCCCTTTTCCCTTTTGCCTTTTGTTGTCAATATAATGGAATTGTATGCAACTGTCATACAAATGAGAGGTTAAGCTAGCTATAAAAACAAGTTTTATCAATCTTTTTCTACATAAAGAAATGCCTGTACCAAGTTAGGAATATGACAGTTGTATTCCTTTCGTTTGATGTGTTTGAGCTTTTGATTTTGCCATTTGATAAGAGACTTTTCGTTTTCAATTTTCCTTGGAGATCGGTATTTTTGTTATTTTACTTTTTTTCATTATTGTTTACTTTCCCGTCGTTCATTCTGATTGATCAGATGCACTGAGCCTATCTAAATATTGGTTTTGTTAAATTATTGTTCATCTTGAGTATGCATTAGATACTTTTTTTAAAACACCGAACAAAGATCAATCAACCAATAATTTGTTTGAAATCATTATCACTGACTTTTGAAACATTTAAACGTTCATCGTTCATAGAATATACTAGTTGAACATAAAAGAAAAAAACATTGTCATAGAAAAAGAATTTAGAGGGTATCACAAATAATTGTAAGTAAAGAGAAATTTAGAAAGTATCACAAGTCCGGGTATATAAAGAGAAATATAGAGGGTATCATAAGTATGATTACTATTTGCTTATTACATGTATGTCAGCATTGTATGTTCTAGCAGGAACAATTTTTTTATTATTTAAAAGATAATTGATGTGCATTTCCTTGAAATAAAAATATAATGATTTCATTTTTTTGTCAAATAAATTGCATAGGAATATTTGAGCAGAATATATACGCTTTAACTCAATGAACATTTTATTTGACGTGTATATGTATGGTCAGAAAACTATCTTGAATATCTATCAAATTTCTATAACGTAGCGTATCATGGACATGGAGGTCCCTTGGTTATAACAGAAGGACATACGACGCCGATAGAGTTCCTGCATAGGTTAGCAGCTAAGGAAAAAGGCTTGCCAGTCACTGATTGTAATGGTTTTAATCAAATTGGTAATTATTTGTCAATCTACGGACAGCACGCGTGTTAATCTTGTGTTACTCTGAATATATGATGTATACTGAATATCTAAGGGAAGAAGGTTTTATGACAAGAGTCATTGCATGGCCCCTGAAACTGAAAGAACAGTAAACCATTGTCAATAATTTCAAAGGTATGTTGATGGTTCTATTGAGAAATTAACAGGAGTATACAATAAGGACATTCTAGAACATAAATGCCAGTTTGTGAAGTCAACATGTTGAAATTGCTATTTTATAGCTGACTTTTTTATGGTATGGGTTTTGCTCATTGTTGAATGCCGTATGGTTAAAGTTTTTCACTTTTGAACTCCGGTATTATCGTTTTTGTCAAGACTACCATATCTCCTTGTTTTCATGTTTGACCGAAAAGGTTATTATACTCATTTTTTTCTTATCTAAAAAAAATATCTGCTTACACAAAAGGTATTACCCAAATCAATATCTATAATGAGACAACACATAGATAAATGTATTCTTGGCTCAAATTTTAATATAGTAATAACATGATCTCAAAATTAGATGGTTTGTGCTTTGTGCGTTGTAGACCAAACGGAATTACCAACGACATATAATTAAAAGGATAACAATGAAACATGAATGAACTATTTTTTGAAAGCTTTGAGGGATACTACTTTTTTATTTTCAAATTTAATACACAAAATGTGACCTTACCTGCTTCGCCTTTTACACCACTTTTTTTTTATCGAATTTACTCCCTGAAAAGAGGTCCAATAAAATTTAGACAACACCACAAAAATACACAAGACATACAACATTCTACAAAAAACTATTGATCAGCAAGAACCAAACCAAAAACCGAATTGTTTTAGTACGCAATTTTCAGTCTTCAACTGTTACTCACCAAGTTACTCACTGAAGGTAAAATAATCAATGTTGAGTCGTTTTAAGGGTTGCAAAGTAAAGGAATCGAAACGTTATTTATGTGGTCATTTATTTGTCTTTTTATTCGTTTTTAGTTTTTTGTCAAATCAAGTGTATTCGTCGTTCGTTGCTTGGTGATTTGTTCTAGCGTCTATCGTTTGAAGGATTATCTCGTTTCAGTCATGCATCTGCAATCGGATATACATGATATAGTTTTTTTTTTAATGAACTTTGCAGAAAAATTTATTTCAATGCGCTTTTTTTTTTCTTTGTTTTTATATATTCATCCGAAATACATGTTAGAATTCCATTGGCAACATTTCAGTTCTGTATTATTGGTAATGATGCATATTTTTTATGTATTTTTCCATGTTTTTCTGTTTTCTGTCCCCCCTTTTTTGTATATCAAAGCGATATGTTTGCCATCTTATTGAATTCTAGTTCTGGAATAAATCAGGGTTTATTGTGCAGTGAATGACGAAAATTCAAGTAATGACAATAACATTATTAACATTCTTACTTAAAAGTATCAAAAAGTTGGTCAAGTTTGATTTAATTGGACATGTTCTATTAGATTTACTATATCTAAAATTGCATGAAATAGATGCATTGTATGTTTACCTTTATACGATATCCGACCAGTATGTGAGTTTGTTTTTCCCTTAGGCTATTGTGCCATACAAGCAAACGTAAAACACGGCGAACGTTGTTCTTCAGCAAGTTGTTTTCTAAGACCTAAATTGCACAGACGAAATTTACAGGTTGCTACCAACAGCCACGTTACAAAGGTAAATGTTTTAAAATATTGATTGTACCTCTTTAAATTGCCAAAACAAAGTTTTGGAGACTTTATGGTTTTGTCCCGTTTCTACTCCTTATTATTATTTCACCCGAATGACAATGTCATCTTCACGGAAACAGGAGAAAAGATTAACATTGACAGTATGGGAAAACACATTAAAGCTTCATTTCCTTAAAGAATATTGGATCACACCTAATGAAACTTTATTGATATGAAACCTGGCATAAGTCAATGCAGTAGCTGTTTTTGGAATTTTCAAAATGGCCACCGTAACCATGAAAACCGAAAAAATGCGAAATTTAAAACTGAAGATGAGTGGTGTCCTTTTCCGTATATTGAATACCTACTGGTAGAATTTTTATGTTTTGTATAATACAAAAGTACCATGCAAAGTTGTCTATTCAACATTTTTTGTTCAGCCTCGGATTTCCTTGTCATTATTTTAGGGGGGGGGGGGGGGTCTTTTTTCATAGAACATTCCAGAACATCATTGTTCAATTATTCCGAGACACATAAAATGATACGTGATGATAGATTAATATGTGTAGCACCATATGTAGCAGCAGTTCGACTTTTGAATTTTGAAAATCGCCGCTGTTACAATGAAAACTGCACAAATGCGCAACATTGAAAATTGGTCCAATCTTTATGAAATTTGACAGTAATTTGACCTGTCTTGTGGAGATGTGCTCTCTTATTTTGGAATATTCAAAATGACTGCCGTTACCATGAAAAAAGCAGAACAATGGTTTGGGTCGTTTTTGCGACTTTTGTTTTTTATTTTTGGATCAAAAGCTTAAATTCGTAATCTTGTTTGATATGATTTTGCAAACAAAACATCGGACAGTCATATGTTATGCTATATGGTTGCATTTATTAATCTAAAGATAGATATTCTGATTTCTCCTCTTTAAAATATTATCAGACGTTAAGTATATAATTAGAGTACCATGAGCAATTTGACGAATGCCACATATAGAGCACATTTTGTTTTTCTTCCGGAGCACCTGAAATTATCCAGGGTTTTAAGTTGTGCATTTGTAGCTCAGATCTAAGTTTTATGTGTAGTGTTTTTTGGACATGTTTGCCTTTTTGTCATTTTCATTTCCCCTATAACTGACGAGTTAAGATATTTCCTTCATAAATAACAAAGAGTAAAGCATTGAAAAAATATTTAAAGACGCAAATTCAATAATTTGTTCACGGAGACATGAAAACTTAGCTACTTTTCTTTGTGTTTATAAGTTTTCACTTTGCCTCTATTACTCTATTCAGCTCTTAATGAAATTATAAATCACGATGTCGTGACATTAAATATGCCTAATCCGGCCACATCATAAGTGAAACAACCCTTTCTCATCACCGACGTCATAATGTTTGACCCTAACTTGTCAAGTTTCCTTCTGATTATTTCACCAATAGTATCAGAAAGAAATGTGATGCACATTGACCTATTGATGACATACATTTTGAAGGAAATGGTTCATATACCCAGAATTTTCAATGGATTTTAAATGTTAAAAATAAATAAATAAACATAAATACATATAACTACTTCAGAAACTGTAAGATATATTATTTTCATGTCATTTTGTTGAATTTTGCAAACATTATCTAAAGTTTATAATAGGTTAATTCGGGTCATTAACATGTAGATTATTATACGCAATGGCGAAGCTAAAGGTGTTGTTGTAATGAGAAATGGAAAGAAGACACGGATATATGCCAGGGAAGAAGTTATCATTTCTGCGGGAGTGTTTGGATCACCAAAACTCCTGTTGTTGTCCGGCGTAGGACCAAGACATCATCTGGAAAAGTTGAGGGTAATTATAATCTAAAACAGTAATTTTGAAATACAACATGTTATAACATATTACGACTGTTTGTAATCAAGACAATCTGGGTCAAATATAAGTCAAGTATGAAACCTTAAAATATACTAGCCATATAATCTAGCATGCAAGGCGTGCGTTTCCGCTATACAAAGCAATTACAAAATCTGAGAAAAATTAAAAGCCATAATTTGCAAACTGCATACAAAATCATGCATATTAATTTTTATGGTTTATAAATGACTTTGTAGTAGTTACGTTGTGTCATTTCGGGGAATATAAACTACTAGTTTGCAGATCCAAATCGAAACCAAATATTGATATATACCGGTTTCTTAATATGTCAACTCAGGTTTTAGATATATCTTCTCAAGATTTAAAAACATATGATTCATATTGTTTTATTATAATGATCTCAGGATATACCAACAAGGAACATCTAAAATTGTAAACCGGTTTGTAGACAAATAGACGAGAAAAAGCAGTGAGACCAATATCCTATTGATTTATTTCACAATTCTGTCATTTCTCAAAAACATGTTTGTACATGTATCTCTACTAGAATTAAAAAAGAAAATACGCATGCAAGTGCTTTATATTGTTTGCCCATTATTCTCTATTCTTTATATTTAAGCACCTCATTATTCTGTATTCCTTATTTTTGTCCATTTTCTTTATTCTTTATACCCTATCTACACCCTCTATAATGGTTGAGAGCTTTCGGCAACTGACGATTATAGCTGCCCTGTAGTCAATGCTGAAGTGCTCGCATGATTAAGGAGCTACAGTATGTGTGTAAAAATTGGTTTCATTACTTACTTTAACAATACATAGTTACATATTTGAAAGCAAATGCTACAAGAGACGAAGTGAATAATACTCGAAGCAATGACTACTGACCTGATGTTACATATGTACCCTTGGGTTACAAGCAGCGGTATCAACCCAGTGCTTAAATAGTATTAATGTCTTACGCATTTCTGTTTTGACCTCCATAATCTTTCAATATCTAATTTAAGATAGACAGTTCTATATCTACAGTTTGAAATTCAAAAAAAAATGTAGATTTTAAAATTAAGAATGGAAACGAGTAATGTGTCAAAGAGACAACAACCTAACCAAAGAGCAGAAAGCAGCTAAAGACCACCAATGGGTCTTCAACTAAGCGAGAAAAGTCCGCAACCTGAGGCGGGCTTCAGTTGGCCCCTAAACAAAAATGTTTACTAGTTCAGCGAAAATGGACGTCAGACTAAACTCCGAAATATATAAATAAATCAAAATAAAAAAAACAAACAAAATTAACAAAGAAAAACATACAAGACTAACATAGTCCAGAGGCTCCTGACTTTGGAAAGGCGGCGAAAAATGCAGCGGGGTTAAACATATTTTGAGGTCTCAACCCTCTCCCTGTACCTCTAGCCAACGTACAATAATCAAACACACAGCAATACGCACAGTAAAACTCAGTTGAAAAGAATGATGAGTCCGATGTTAGAAAAGGTAACAGAAGAAAATAAGCAAAACGACAATGATCAACATAAATTAACAAAGGATTGTAGGTTTGTGCAAGTTATACTACATTTTCATTGGAAATGCGTAATTATGTTGATTACTTGGATTAGGGACTACTTTATCTTGAAACTTATGTAGTTGCACGGGTAGTGTACCTTTTACATTTAATTTAAATTCAGATATTTTTTAACGGCAGGTACCACTGAAAGCAGATCTCCCAGTAGGCGAAGGAATGCAATATCATATGCAATATCATTTCCAGTACTCAATTAATACACCTATAAATATGAACAAAGAGAAGGCTGTAGACGAGCAATCAATTATGGACTATTTATTTTACAAGACAGGTAAACGAATGTGTAATACAAATAAAACATATATAGAATAACATGAATAAACAAACAACATTGCACAGTACAGCAGGCCAAACAAAACACAATTTAACTCAGTGAAAAATAGAAAGACGAACAAAGACAATCAATTATAAACAGCACATGATCAATATAGACTAATTTGGCATAGACACTACATGAGTTACACTAAAACATATTTGCCTATGCACAAATCACTCAATTTGCCTGTCGTTAGACATGTTAGAATAAAAAAAAAAGACCTGCACATTCAATGTACCAACGGAGGACCATTAATGTGTACAAGAAAGTGAAATACGGCACATGATGAAGAAAGTAGTCAAAATGCACTCGCTACTATAGAGAGCTAAATACTACAATTCAAGGAAAATGTTAGATACAACACTCCTAAACGGTTTCATGAAGTCTCATCATCATATTGGCAGTCATAAAAACCCATTTAAACAGTTTGTGTACATGACGTTGTAAAAGGCAACAGTAGTTTACTAATTTTCAAGTTTCGTGAATCCATTTTAAGCATATTAGCCAGGCTAAAACGCTGATGGAAGTGCATAACTTCCGATAAAGAGCGATACTAATTGTGAAGACCAGTTAAGTGTATCCTGCAATTGATGCATCCCGTTCAATGAGAATCCAGATACGTACATCCTACAATTGATGCATCCCTTTCAAAGTGAATCCAGATACGTACATCCTGCAATTGATGCATCCCTTTCAATGTGAATCCAGATACGTGTATCCTGTAATTGATGCATTCTCCTCAGCGTTAATCCAGATACGTGTTTCCTGCAATTGATGCATTCCTCTCAATGTGAATCTATATACGTGTATCCTGCAATATATGCATCCCTTTCAATGTGAATTCATTTTAAGCATATTAGCCAGGCTAAAACGCTGGTGGAAGTGCAAAACTTCCGATAAAGAGCGATACTAATTGTGAAGACCAGTTACGTGTATCCTGCAATTGATGCATCCCGTTCAATGAGAATCCAGATACGTGCATCCTACAATTGATGCATCTCTTTCAAAGTGAATCCAGATACGTACATCCTGCAATTGATGCATCCCTTTCAATGTGAATCCAGATACGTGTATCCTGTAATTGATGTATCCTCCTCAGCAAGAATCCAGATACGTGTTTCCTGCAATTGATGCATTCCTCTCAATGTGAATCTATATACGTGTATCCTGCAATATATGCATCCCTTTCAATGTGAATCCAGATACGTGTATCCTGCAATTGATGCAACCCTCTCAATGTAAAT